GCTCCTCCTCTCCGAGACGCGAAATGTCTCGTTCAGAAATGTGTCGGGAATACACTTTTATACCGGGATGTCACACGCCAGGACTCGCGCTGACGGCGGCAGGGCTGCTTCTCGGCTGCTCCAGTGCTTCACCGGTGCGGACGAGTCCCCCCCCCCCCTTTCCCCAGCACAACTTTTCTGTTTATTTTTTCCCTCGAAACTTTTGCAGAACGGGCGTTGGAACGGCCTGGTGGCGGCGCTCATGAACCACAACGCGGAGCTCGTCATGACATCGCTCAAGATCAACTACGAGCGCTCGCAGGCCATCGACTTCTCGCTGCCGTTCCTCGACACGGGCATCGCCATCGTGGTGGCCAAGCGCACCGGCATCATCTCGCCCACCGCCTTCCTCGGTGGGTTTCTTCCACGTCCCCATAGCTCGCGAAACCAGAAAGCTTTCGCTCGGTTCAAGTGAAGTACACTAAATATTTGTACTGAACTTGTTTGCGAAATTATATAAAAACCATAATGCACTCTAGATTTGAACATTGCGACTGAAATAAAGACATATGGTCCTCTCAGCGCATCGACTGAAAAATCCTTCTCATTCTATTTAATGCAATCCAGTACTAGAGTAATGTACCATTTCAAGAAATGTTTTTTTCAGGGTGTGCCCCTTGGCCCTATTTGCTTCTGTCGCGTCGACTATTCCTCTCCCTTTTCATGTCAATGTTTTTTTGTTGTCGGTATATAAACGGTAAGCAGACAGATTCCTCCCCCACCCCCTACGTCACCTGTCGGTGGAATGAATCAACGCAATATGTTCGCTCCCGCCTCTGCTTCTCGCGTTCCACCTTTATTAGATTCACATCCGCCGCGCGGGGCCGCGGGGCCGCGGGGCCGCTGGTGGGCCTCGCTCTGTGCGACGGAGGGGATCGGATTTTCTTCTTTCATTCCGCGACGCCCGCCCGTACCGCGGTGGTTGTCGGTGTAGGCGCGGGGTCTTTGTTGTCGGCAATCATTTGGCACAGAGGGAGACGCAGATAACGATTCGACGGTGCGAACACTGGTGTACCGCACGGACTACGCGACCGTTGCGATTTCGATGTCCGTTTGTTAGTTTTTCGTTATTTTCACCAACCCTGTGACGTGGGATTTCGTTGGCCGGCAGGTGCAACGTAGCGTAGCGCCGGGCCCGTCTCCGTAATAAGAAAAGAAAAACAAAGCGAGCTTTATGGTTTAAACCGTGCGTCAGTGACGTGCCAGGGCCACTGTTGTGTATGTTGGCACGACTGCGTGTCATTCAATTGTCATTGCCTGATTGTCTATATAAACCTGACACACTCCTGAATAAAGGTTCTTCTGTTATCGGCAAACCAGTTGTCCAGTTCTCTCAAACTCCTCTCCTATCCGCCTTCAGACATCTTTAACAAGTCGCTCCACCGGCCCACGGGCTCAAGCCGTTCATAGTACGACCATCTTAGTACAAGATACAACATGGCGCAGTCGGCGTAGTGGCGGAAGGAAGGAGGATTGGAAGTAAGTCTCGCTGGAATACTTCTCTCGACGGAAAAGAAGACAGTAGAAAAGGCTCGACCGTTGGTTTTAGTCCAAGGAAGCCTCTGCCATCTTTTGCCCCGAGTCGGGTACCTGGCCTGGTCAGCGTAGTCACTGTCTAACAGAAGTCCACGTGTGTTGGGAGGTTAGAAAGTTAGCAAGCATGGAGATGAATATCAAGCCTTTGACCCCGGGTGAAGACCTTAGTAAACAATGGAAAATGTTTCAATGGCAGTTCGAGGGGTACATCATGTTGAGTGACGTCCGCGCGGCCTGGAGTAAAGAAAAACAAGCAAGTGTCATGATGCATTTCTTGGGATTGGACTGTGCTTATTTGTATGACACTGCCACCGCCGCGGTAAAGAAAGATCCGGAGCTATTAAAGAAGCACATCAGTGAGCGAGTCAAGCCGGTCACAAACGACTGTTTCGAACGTTTTCTGTTCAAACAGATTGCTCGGAAGCAAGGGGAGGACATTGATAGCTTTGTGGCCAAGTGCCGAGAGAAGATTGAACGATGTGGGTTGCCAGCGGGGTACAACACAGACTTTTGGATTGTAGATGCCCTTGTGCACCCCCTGCAAGACCTGACGTTACAGCAACACTTCTTTCGGATGAAAGATTTGAAGCTTGAGAAGGTCATGGAAGACCTCAAAGTTCATGAAGCAGGGCAACTTCAAGTCAAAGAAGTTCAGAGTTGTCGTGCCCGTACTTGATTTTGTTTCTGTTCACTTGTGAAGATAGACTTGTTAGTGTAACTCAAAATGTAAAGTCTTGCTTACTCAATCAATTTTCTGGCCAGGATTAAACAAGGACGCGTAATCGTTCATTAGCGATTATCTTTGGTGTGTTCCGAGTTTTCCTATGTGATGTCTCCTGACATTCAAATTTATTTTATGAGCAACTGACATCCTAGATTTCATGGTGGCTATTCTTTAATTAGAATTTGCACGTATAGTAAGTGGATCGATGCCATAAAAAATGCCAGACAAAACGTCCAAATCTGTTTTGACATGTGTTAGCTTTTCTGTGTTATGTGCACTAAAATACCTGTTGTTGTGTTGTCAAACAATAATCCTTTTAAATCTTTTAAATGTAGCGCAGGTTGCAACAGTTTTAAACCTTTTCTTTTCTACTATGTTTTTTAAACCCTGTAAATCATAATGATCACATTGTTAATAATGAAATTGTTAACGAGATTCCTCATCAAGTTCAGATACCAATACAGGAGGTCAATGATAATTTGGAGAGA